TTTAGTTTTTTAATAAATTCTAGTATTACAAATTAAATTTCGGTAGTATACAACAACATTATTCGCANAATAATAAATAAAAAAAAAAATTTATTTTCAATAATTTAAAATTACCAAATTACCCTCCATTTTTCATGGGTATTTCGTTCATTTTATATTTTGAAAAATATTTTTTATATATTTTTAATTGTGCGTCATATGTTTTAGTACACACATCTAAAATTTCATTATGATCCAATTTTTAGAAAAAATATTAAAATTTATATAGTGATATGCATTCTGAACCACATGATGAAGATCTGACGGCTGGAATTCCACCTATATTACTATTCATTATAGCTGCCCAGCTATTGTAATATTTACTTATATATAACTAGGCAGCTATAATGAATAGTAATATATGAGGAATCACAGCCGTCTGATATTCATCTAGTGGTTCAAAATATATATCATTATTTTAATTTTAATTTTTTTTTTAATAAATCTGATTAAAATGAAATTTCGGGTGCATATACCTAACACTATTGCGCACCATATAAAAATAAAAATAAAAAATTATTTTCAATTATTTGAAATGATCAAATTACCTCCATCATTTTTCAAAAGTATTTCGATCATTATATATTTTAGAACATATTTTTTATATATTTTTTAATTGTGCGCCTTATTTTTTAGTACACGTCTAAAATTTCATTATGATTTGATTTCTATAAAAAATATTAAAATTCATATAGTAATATGTATTTTGAACCACTCGATGAAGATTTCACAGCTGGGATTCCACCTATGTTACTATTCATTCTTCCTACCCAGCTATTGTAAGGTTTACTCATATATAGGAAAAAGCTAACAATAGTTGGGCAGCTATAATGAATAGTCATATAAGTAGAATCTCACTCCTTAGATCTTCATCATATGGTTCAAAATACATATCACTATATGAATTTTAATATTGTTTCTAAAAATCGGATCATAATGAAATTTTAGACGTGTGTACTAAAAAATAGGGCACAATTAAAAAATATATAAAAAATATTTTCCAAAATATAAATGACCTAAATACCCCTTGAAAAATGACCGTGATAATTTGGTCATTTTAAATTATTGAAAATAATTTTTTTATATTTTATATGGTGCGCAATAGTGTTAGGTATATACACCCAAATTTTCATCTTAATCATATTTATAAAAAAAATTAAAATTAAAATAGTGATAAGTATTTTGATCTACTCAATGAAGATCTGACGGTTGGTAGTCCATCTATGTTGCTATTCATTATAGCTGCGTAGCTATTGCAAGGTTTACTCATATATATATCTATATATGAAAATTGGTAAAAAGTCTCATGATCGAAGTGCTATAGTACTCCTCTCATGGCACTTAACCGTCTGATTTCCATCAGATGGTGGGGAGTGCATGTTAGTATATGAATTTTATTTTATTTTCTTTAGATCAGATTGAGCTAAATTTTGAGGGTGTCTTCACCTAGTCTTCCTAAAATATGTAAGAGATTATTCTTAAAAAATAAAATGACTAAAATACCTTTGAAATGTTGTGGGTGAAATTGAGACATCACATCCCCAAAATTTCAATTCAATCCGATTTGTAAAAAAATATATAAATAAAAATCATTGTCATGCAATCCCAATAGTCCCAGAGCTCATGAGCAAAGAAAGTTCTGTAGCACTTTGGTCATGAGCATTTGGAAAGTTTTTAGTATCTCTATCACACCCATTATGCAAATGTGCATTTGAGGGCTGTGATTATTGAAATGTAAAAACCGGCCCTCTACACAAGCGCACATATGGTGTACGATGTGTGGTTGTCGATTTCCTAGGGGAGAGTGGATGCTTGACACACAGCTTGCCAAGGTTCAGGCAAGAT